TTGTGATAGTCAAATTCGCTACGCGAAAGTCAAATTCATGTTGCAATTTTCGCGTTGTGATTGTTGCGAAAGTCATATTCTCGTTGCAATTGTTGCGAAAGACAAATTCGCAATGCGAAAAATCGAAATCGCAACGCGAATTTGACTTTCGCAACAATCGCAACGCGGATTTGACTTTCGCTTTGCGAATTTGACTATCGCAACGCGAAAATTGTAATACGAATTTGACTTTCGCGTTGCGAATTTGACTTTTGCGTTGCGAATTTGAATTTCGCGTTGCAAAAGTGTACCTTCAACAGGTTTTTTTTGCCTTCAACATAATGCATATTGAAAATTAAACAACAAATCAATTAAACAGCATTGTAAATGAGTTGCTATATATATGTAAAATATTTGTTCACATTATATCCAAATGCTCCTAACAATAGGGAGCTTATATCCAAATACATCAATTTGTTCACGCAGCTCACTTCAGTAACCTGCAGAAACGTTATGGCCATGAGATTTTCTACACATCTAAAACCAACAAATAGAAAATTATTGAATTCTAGGTACTTAACCAAACATTTTCAAACCAACAACGAGTATATATGTTAACAACACTTGCTCAAACTTACCAATAACAAATGGTTGTTTATGCACACTTTCAGCATGCAGATGCAGGTAGGCAACGTCTCGAATATATCGCTCTAGCCATAAAATACCGAAACCACAACCCTACTGCACCTCTATCTCTATCTATGGGAGGTAGAAACTGTTTACCTCATATCTTTAAACTTTCCAAGCACATGCATACAAGAGGACCACAATCCTCTCTGGCTCCCGCCGTTTGTTGTGGCGTTGTCTCATCTCTCATCATTGTAACTTTGAACTTTTTTGGCTTCTTGTTTTCAGAATTAGTCTAATAATCAATCGCATCCAAGTATTTAGCCAAATGAGCGCTCTATCCCTTACAAATAATATCTTTCAAATCAGACAATAGTATGTAATTCAACATGTTGTCATATACTATCGTCTTCAGGGATGGGAGCTGAAGCTCGACATGAAGTCAATGACGACGTTCCATAACAAGGATAAACACTTGCAATCATAAATAATAATTTAATTATGCACATTAAATAAAATTTATGAACACCTTTAAAATATTCAAAAATAAATACTAACCTTATCGACCTCCCACCACGTAGGATAAAGGATAGCTTTTCCATTACCCAACGCATATGAAGCGTCTCTTTGATCTTTCAAGTGAGCTACGTGAAAAGACGAAGGCATAATAGCCCATCGCATCTTTTTTATTTTCTTCAATTTCCTTATAATCAGAAGACGTGACACCCATGCATCAATATGTTGTTTTATACAAAAATACATATATTAGTGAATTTAATAAATTTTTAAAAAATAATCAAAATGCAATATAAGAAGAATATAAGACTTACCCCCCATTCGAAATAGTCATTCTCTTCAACCCCTAATAAAACACCCTACCAAGACCAATCAAGAAAAAAATGCATACTATCGTCGATTTTGCATATGTCAGCGTAACACCCCTGGCTCCGCTCATGTAGATAAAAATCAACTGCGATCTTAGCCCAAAGGGTATTATCTATAATTGTGTCCGGTAGTGTTCTCCTCTCCTGCTGAGGAATGGTACTGGCCGGTAACTCATACGAAAGCCAAATCTCATCCATCATACCAGGCACGTGAGGGGGTTTATCAATATGTCGACATAGTATGCCATGTAAATCGGGCTCTTAAACGGTGGGAGGGACCTCTTGAATGATGAGAGGGGCCTCTTGAACGGTGGAGGGGCCTCTTGAACGATGAGAGGGGCCTCTTGAACGATATGAGGAGCCTCTTGAACGATGAAAGGTGAATCGGGCTTATTCTTACGGAGTCTTGGAACTATCGGGGTGAAAAGAGACATAATGACATGTGCATGACGTCTGATGCGTGAACCCTGTCGTGCAAGAAAAACCCGACGTAAAGCATATGCCTTATCGGGCCGCTAAAAATAAACTAATACATAAATCAGTAAATAAATAAATAAATAAATAATGCCGAAAAAATGTTATTTGCATTTTTAGTATAGTATTAAACAAACTTACCTCATTGCGTAGAGTATGAACTTCATTATGCAACGATGAACCAATCTCATGTAGAGCGGCTGCCTCATCACGTAAAGTAGATGCCTCATCACGTAAAGTAGATACCTCACCATGTAAAGCACCATTATCATCGCGTAAAACATCTATCTCACCACGAAAAGATCGTACCTCATCACGCCATGCACCATTGTTGTCACGTAAAGTACCGACCTCATCACGCAAAGTACTGACCTCATCACGTAACTCCCCTAACTCATCCCGTCGAGGTGGAGAACGGGGAGATAAATGTCGTGGCATCTTTGTCGGTCGCCTATCATGAGGTGATGATGGAGAAGAGACTCGATGATGTGATGGAATAGGTGATGGCTCTCGGTGTGAAGGTGTATAATCGGCTCAATCAGGTGATGGCTCTCGAAGTGGGGGTGCTCATCATCTGTCCCATCAAAAAAATGCTTACTAGCTTGCCATCAATCAGTGGCAAGCTCAACCTCTGTGGGTGTCAGCCTCTGTAATGGATAGTTTGCCTCCTAACAATATAAAAGCTCAAAAAAAGTCAAACGTCTACTAGTAATAAACAAATGTATATATGGTAGTATTTGTGTTAACTTACATCATTCATCGTCGTATATGGTAGTAAATCTTCCCAATCCAGCAGCCGGATCCTCCTCCAGGTAATAGCCCTAGGAATATCATTTGATTTTTTTTATTGCATTTGTCTACATGTTGGGAAAAGCCTCAAATATCCAAATCTACAAACAATATAACACACAAACATTAATTTTTTAGTAATTGTTAAATTTAATTATAATTTTGGAAACATTATATAGAAATTCTTACCTTAAAGGCCTAAATAAAGCTTACCAAAGTGTATTTGGAACCATGGCCACGTAAACTACGATGGTCCTCAAAGGCAGACGACAACTTTTTCCAGGTAGCTTTCCATAGATATTAACCCCACGGAAACACGTTCTATGCATTTAGGTCCTCTACCAATAATATTAGGTCCTCAGAAATAGGTTGTCTGGCCTCTTTACCTAAAACGTCGGCATTCAAAAGTAATAAAAGGCGTAATCGAACAATATCAAGGTCATCCATCCGAGTGAAACCATCTTTAAGAAGTAATATTTTCAAATCATCGACGTGTAAACTGGGCTTCGCCTTTGCCACCTCAGGAAAAACCCAAAATAACCATGATGGGTGGGCGGTATGACTAGTGTACCGACCTAATTCATCATGTCCGAAACGTAGACCAGTGATTAAGCAAAACTCCTCCCGCCCAAAACAAGTATACGCCAGGAGAAAATGAAACCACATCTCTTCATCACCACATTGTATCCTCTCGGGTAGATCGTTAGTCATAGTCTAAAGAAACAAATAGGTCAACATAGCATCTCCACCTGGATGTTGTACTTTCAACCATGGCCCGAAGCAAGTATCCTCAAACAATTTTCTTTGTACAAGTGTAAGTGTCGACGCAATTGTAGTGGCTAGGCTTAATTTATTCCTTAAAGTCAATGAAGCCGAAAAAATTTCCTAACAAAAACAATAATAATATACCAAGTTAGATATACCAAAAACATACACTATAAACAGACATGATATTAAACAGTGAAAACAAAGCCAAATATGTTTCAAACTAGCACGATATTCACCCAAGTCATTATTCTATCATAGTTCACAAAATACATCAGATAACATTCTAGAAGTAAAGACTTATATAAACATTTAAAAGGACAACATATAGGTTTAGTGCAGGTTCAAGGACAACATAAAGAGTAGTAGTTTATTCTTGAAACTTAAATTCGCAACACTGTGAAGTTAGTATTTGTCTTTGTTTTTTTGTTGAAGTAATGCAATTCATTCAAGTTTCAATTTGCAGAAGAATAGTAGTTTCTTAAACTTAAATTCGCAACGCTAAAATGAAAATCGCAACGCGAAACTAAAATCGCGTTACGATTTTCATTTTTGCGTTGCAATTTTCGTGTTGCGATTTTCATTTTCGTGTTGCGAATTTAAATTTCAAAAACTATTCTTCTGCAAATTGAAACTTTAATGAATTGCATTACTTCAACCAAAAGACAAATACTAACTTCACAGGGTTAAAGACTAAACAGTTTAGCAGTATTGGCAGCAACCAAATGAATTTACTAAGCAATCTAAGTGAAATGGTTAATCTATATATTGAAATTACTAGTAAATTTATCATCAATTTAAATATGCAAAATCTAATAATAATACAAAAATTTCAAAATAAAAATAATTAAAAAAATTAACCTTCGGTGATTGATTTTCCATTTGTGGCCGTTAATAGTTATAAGGGTGGCTCTGAGAGATGGAGATAGAGGGGGGTCGCCGGATATGGGGACGGATTTCGCCGGAGATGGGGACGGATATCGCCGTAGAGAGTGAGAGATGGAGATGAGACTAAGTTGTGATTTAAGGTTTTAGGTTATGAGTTGCGATTATATTGTTTACATTTATGTTACGAAATTAATATTGTGTTTCAAATTCGAAAATAAAATTCGCGTTGCGAAAATAAACGCGCTTTGCGAATTTGACTTCTGTGTTGCGAATTACAAGATTTACAAATTTTGTGTTGCGATTTACAAATTCGCGTTGCGAAAAAGGAATTCAAGTTGCGAATTTCAAAACTGAGTTACGAAATTGAAGTTCGCGTTGCGAATTTATTGGTCATTTTCGTAAATCCAAAAAAAATTAATTAAAATCGTACATTATACAACATTTTCGGTCAATGAATTTATTTTCTCATTTATTAAAAACACAGTTATCACATTTATAGAGGAAAAAGAGAATGAGCAGCCCAGATCTAATCTTATTAAACTTACGCGGGATATCCGATACAGTTTTTACTGTTAAAATCACCAAACAGCAACCGCCACGACTCTTTTTCTCCGGCCGGCGTGTCCGTCTTCAATAATTTTATTTTTTCCTCTTCATTTCTTTCCCTTCTCCCAAACAAAAAGAAAATGGATTCTCAATACCCGAACCAGAAACCCTCTCTTCACCCGGAAGTGATCCGAACAAACCTCGAAATCCCCCAATACGCTTCTTATTCTTCCAACAACCTTTACCCCACCATTGACAAGCGTGATTTTGTCGAAAACCTTTTCCCGGACTTTGCCCCATATTCCGTTAGCTTCCACAACGGCCAGTCATATCCTCCGTTTGCGCCAACGGTCCCCTATTCGCAATATCCCGTTAGCGGCCATTATGGTCACTCGGATCCTCCTTTCGTGATAACGGCCCTGCCTGAGCAATTTCCCTTTAGCGCCTCTGATGACCACTCAGATCCTCCGTTCGCGCCAACGGCCCCAGCTGAAGCTGTTGAGGAAGTTTTAATGAAAATCCCTGGTGCCATCGTACATTTGATCGATAAATCTTACAGCGTCGAGCTCGCTTGCGGAGAATTCTCGGTAGTTCGTCTCTGGCAGGACAACAACATTGTCGCTGTTCTAGCGCGTGTCGCTGATGAAGTCCAATGGCCGATTACGAAACAAGGGACGGCCGTTAAACTTGACGATTCTCATTATTTCTTCTCTCTTGAGTTCTCTAAGGAAGCCGATAAAACTTCCGAGGATGGCTCTGATTTGCTTAGTTACGGGTTGACAATAGCCTCAAAAGGACAAGAAAATTTGTTGATACAATTGGATGATATATTGCGATGTTATAGTTGTTTTACGGTGCAGAAAGTAAAGGGGAAAGGGGAGAAGGTTTTGGATGGAGGGGAGAACATGTCCCCGGAGGATTTGAATTCGGCAAGCAAGAAGGCGGCGATGGAGGGTAGATGTGCGGCCTATTGGACTACACTGGCGCCTAATGTGGAGGAATATAGTGGGACAGCGGCTAAGATGATTGCGGCTGGATCAGGGCAGTTGATCAAGGGGATATTGTGGTGTGGAGATGTGACAATAGATAGATTGAATAGAGGGAACGAGGTATTGAAGAGCAGAATGACCCCTACCGAGGAGAATTTGGAGATTAGTCCAGAGGCATTGAAGAGGATACAGAGGTTAGGAAATGAACTGTTTTGATTTATTAAGTTACTTTATTATATTTCCATATATATATATATATATATTCATTCTTATGAAATTTATAGCTAATGAGGTAACAATTAAAATGGTTGAATTCTCAAACAATTAGCTTGTTTGCAGTTGGGATAGTATCATAGTAACAAGGCTCCCATAGCATAGATATATGCCCCCAATGAGAAAATTAAATGTTATTGATAAATTTGGTATATAATTATGTTTGTAGTGTGTTTAAGGAAGAGAACACAATGATGAGATAAGTATTGACAGAATGCTGAACTGATATGCTCTGTTTAGGAAGACAAAAGTAGAAATTCTTTCATGTCATTTGTAAAATCATGTAATAAACCTTTGCACGTTGTCTTCTTCAAAGTTCTATGCTTGAAAGCAATGGAATTTACTAATGGAACTGGAACTGAAACTGAAATACAACTTTGTTCAGAAGAATTTTTCTCCTTAAGTTTTGATTTAAGTTGAGTGGCATAGAGTATAAAGGTACAAAAGTTAGTTGTTTTTCTTTTGTTTTTTTACATCTAACTCTGAAGTTAACTCCTTGACATTTTGGCTTAACTATACATACAGGATTAAGAAGGTGACAAGAGTGACACACAAAGTGGCAAAAGGGGTTCTCTCTGGTGTTGTGAAAGTATCTGGATATTTCTCAAACTCTGTTGTGAACACAAAACTGGGCAAGAGGGTTTTTCGGCTCCTACCTGGAGAAATGGTTCTTGCTACCCTGGATGGATTCGGTATGTCATTCATCTGTCTCCACTTTATTTTTTATGGTTAGGTGCATCGTTTACGATCCCATTCATCCCGGCATGATTTGCTTATTCATGGGTTTTAATTAATAAAGATGGCCACTAGATTGCATTTTAGGTTCTTCTAGGTCTGTGCTAGATTTATACAGCCTAAAATTATTATTGATCTTTTGTAGTAACTGATATCAATCGAAAAAATGGAAAGTAGTTTGCTAGTTTGGTGTTAGGTGTACGGTAGATTGATTCAAGCTTAAGGATTAATTTCATCCAGTTTTACGATTTCTTCTCTTCTATGGAATTGAATGCAGTGGTTGTTGTAGAAACAGAGTTTTCCGATTCTGGTAAACAGGATTTTTTTATTCTGAAATTATTTTTATTCAAAGAACAATTGCATATTACACAAGAGGATACATGGGATTTTTATATACATGAATTAGAGACCTAGATAAGATAGGAGTTTAACTTAAACACAACTTACAGTTGTTTTAGAGTCGCTTGATCTCAGGCTCTATAGGTTGTTACCTATAGGTGCAGACTCTATTTAAGAATACCACTTAAGCTTGATATATTCATATGCCCTGTGATTCCTATCCCATTGCACCCTATTTTTGCTTGTATTATCAATTCATTTAGGTCAAACAGCTTATTAGCAAACACTTTAGCCATTTGTTCGTCTTAGGGTCAATGCCATATCTGTTCTGTTTACATTGTTTATCAAATGTGCTCATTCAATTGGACCATACTCGGAATAGAGCAAGATGACTGAAACTTGACTGTGTATATCTTTGTGTTTGTTTGTGAATAATTGAGTTAATACTCCCAGAACCATATTTTAAACTTTGGAGGTCTCTCTGATGCCATATAGGTGATTAAGCTTCTTGATATAGTGATGAATCAAGTCGAAGTTGGTTTTGACTGATGGAATTTGTTTGAGTTTCCATTTTGGTGAGCTACTTCAGCTCTCTATTATCCCTCCACGGCCAACAAGTTTATTTTCATTCTGCACTATTCTTATCCGAGTTTGATTTTCTGATTATCATATTAAACGAACAACTTTTTGAATTCAAATTTTGGGCATTTGAGGACCAGTTGTAATGCTTCTGATTGTCAGATATGACTTCTATATAGTCATTTTCAAGTGCATTTAGTTCTCTCATATTGATCTATTGCACTAATTCCTTGTGAACAGATAAAATTTGTGATGCTGTTGAAGCAGCTGGGAAAAACGTAATGACAACATCATCCACTGTGACGACTGAACTTGTCAACCAAAAGTAAGTTCACGATATATCAAGGGACAAGCAACTGAAGTTTGTGTCCAAATGTATTTCTAGTTGGACTGTTGGCATCTTAGTGTTTTATTGGTATCATCAATAGAGATTCTACTGTGCTAATTATGCATAAAGGCATAGGCACAGGTCCACACACTCAACACTCACTCAGTGCTATGCCCTTGCTTTAAGGACAATTTCATTCAAAGCCTCTATGCTTACTCTGAACCCTCTTGTCAAGTTAGAAAGAGACAAATTTAGAGGTTATCCTTTCTGCAGGTATGGAGAAAAAGCAGCTGAGGCTACAAGCGAATGCCTGAATGCTGCAGGGCATGCTATGGGAACAGCATGGGCTGCATTTAAACTCCGAAAGGCACTAAACCCAAAGAGTGCTCTTAAATCTAGCGTGCTAGCGAAGGCTGCTGCTAAGGCTACTGTTGAAGAGGCAAGGGCTAAGAAGTGATTGCTTTCAGATATCTGCTCTTCAAATTTTTAGCAGAGAGATGTGGTTATAATGCTGACATCCATAAGCTTCAAAAGTCATCGATATTTTTTCCGATTGTTATGGTATTTGTAACTGGTTATTCCTTTATGCTTATGCCGTACTTATTCTCTCTTTAGTGGCAAGAATTAAAAGGCTTTAGTCCGGTTATGGTAACGATAGTTATGATGTTAGAAAAATCATCAGCTTCACCCTTGTAAGCATTAGTTTGGAGTTGAATCCAATTTGTTAGGATCTTCTTGGCATTATGTTTTACAGCTATGACTATTTCTCTTTTTGTCATCAATTGCAGATGGCGATAACCTTTTCCTTCTTGTGGAGGTTCTAGTTCTGAATCATCTCTGAAATGATATGTGATATTTGTTTTCTGTGGATTTCCTTTGTTTCCTTCATCCTCTTTCTGGTGTTTATATATGCGTGTGTTTTGTTAAGTACATAGGTATGAATTGACCCTTTTATTCACAAATGCTTTGGTTGTTGCATCACTCAAAAAGAAACACCGATTGTACAGAATACTTATCGTGCTTGTTATTCTGATTCCTTGTCAATATCTATATCATTTTTCAGTTGATTTATATCGAGTTTGAACAGGATTTTTCAGATCTAGTTTCGATTGTTGGTGAGACTAGGGGTGTAAACGAGCCGAGTCGAGTTCGAGTATCGTTGAGCTCGACTCAACTCGAAAACTCTGAAATGCAGCTCAACTTGACTCGAAAACTCGAGAGCTTAAAATTTTTAAGCTCGACTCGAACTCGAAATCCTGAATTGAAGCTCGTGAGTAGCTCAAAAAGGCTCGAAATGAAAAAAATATCTTAACTTAACTAGATTGAAGTCTGAAACTCAAACCTGAACCTTAAATACATTAAAGTCTTACTGTATTTTTTTTTAAATACATAAATGTTAATATTATTAATAATTTATTTTTTTTTAAAATAAAATCTAAATATATTATATTTTCGAGCTGCTCACGAGCTTTTCAAGTTGAGTATCAAGTAGCTCGTTTCGGCTTGTTAAGAATTCGAGTCAAGTCTATTCGATCCGAGTATTTATCGAACATTGACCGAGTCGACCTCGAGTAGCTCGTGATCTGTCTCGTCTCATTTACAGCCTTAGGTGAGACACCAACACTTGCCAATCTTGGACCCCCAATTCCAACTACCCAAATGTGAAGAATGGTGGACTTTGGAAAGCAACAACAAGGTTTTTTTGCCCTAAAAGGCAGCCTGAAAAAAAATCAGGGAAATAGGGCACATTGGGATTTGCTACCGTACATGGTGAACTCGTCACTTCGACGTGACGAATTCCTTGAGATATATTATTTTAATGAACCCAAATGAGTGAGCCCCACATGGGCCATTAATTTATTGTATTTATATGGACTCCTCACCTTGAGGTGGCGAGTTCATTAAAAATTATTACTTTTTTAAGTATTGCAAAAAAAATTAAATTAAAATATATATATGGTAACTCGTTACCTTGAGGTGATGAGTTTCTTCAAATTCAAAAAAAACTAGTTGTTTTGTAGTCGTTGGTCAACAGTCACTTGGGCAATGGTTACAATGAAACTCGTCACGTCGAGATAACGAGTTTTACTTGGTTTTTTTAAAGATGGTCGTTGGAGTTAAGGTTATAAATAAGGGTTACGGGGTTTAGGTTTTTCACCATCCTAGCAAAATTCGAACTTCTTAAAGAAATCTTGAAAAATGGCTTTTCGAGATTACATGTTATGTCTCGATGATGTTCATATTTTGTAGGTCGAACTCCGTTCGAATGAAGAACATAGCATTTTTCATCGCAGTATAACTTTGAGAGATCCGGATAAGTGGATGATGATATACTTTCAGCAATCAAGTCTATATCCAACCATATTTGTACGTGGCTTTAAGATGTACCCGACGTTGATTTCGGCTCTGATTAAATGTTGGAGGCCCGAGATGTATACTTTTCATTTCCCGAGTGGTGAAGCAAAGATTACTTTAGAAGAAGTCACTTACTAACTCGGTGTTCCTGTGAATGGTGATGCCGCTGTCAGACAGAACAAATTCTACCCCAGTGTAATGGTCCACAAAGTTTTGGGAAGACTACCACCATTCGAGGTCATTGATGGCTATTAAATATGAAAGACGTGGTTGAAACCCAAATTTCAAGTTACAGACGACTCTACCGAGGAAGAGGTTATTTTTGCATCCCGATCATATCTTTTCCAACTAATCGGAGGGATTTATTACCAGATAAGTCCAGTAATTTGGTGTACACTCAGTATTTGTCCATATTAAATGATTTTCATGAGTGTCGCTATATCAGTTAGGGCCTTGCGATTTTAGCCTTTTTGTACCGGGAGCTTTGTTAGGCTGCAATCGTCTAGTGGGGTCGAAAAGCGAATGTAGCAAGTTTTCTAATATTGATACAATCTTGGGATTGGTATCAGTTGTCAATTTTTTACGCCGATTACAACAGCCTCGGTCGAGTTTCTTTTTGGTTACAAGGTAAATTTTCAACTTCGTTTCTTTAACGAATTTTTTTAATATATTTTTCTTATATTTTTAATCATTTTATATTTTTTAGATTGTGCCATAAAATAACGAAGACAAAGTAATAGCAATCCAACACATTCAAGCATCTTTGCTAGAACATGCGGGTCAGGGTCAATGGGATCATATCATATATGGTCAACAAGGTAAATAAGTCGATTCAGTAATAGCAATGATTGAGTCAAATAGCATAAGTTCATCATCGTATTTCGAAGGTGGATCTCAGAGTGTATTAAGTACACCTTTTTTCAACAACCAACCCAATATGAAGATGGCAACGACGACAATCAAGGTCGACAACCTTGACATACTCGAGAGCCCGCGCCATTATCAATTGACTACTACTCGGCATCGTCAAGAATTTAGAAAATATAAATAAATTTTATTAGTTTGTAAACACTGTTATTTTAATAAAATTATTAATTTATTTTTTAATTAATATATATGTAAACATTCATTTTTGTCCGGGTCAAAAAATAATTATTAAATATAATAATAATTATTATTATTAATTTTGGTTATAATGTTTGCAGGCCCACATTACAACAAGACCCACCACTACACCAAAACCCAGCAGATCAAAAGCCCAGATAAACAACTCATTCAACAACCCAAGTACATTGACCCAACAAGCAGATCCGACCCGAGTCTAGCAACCCGACCTGTGATTCGGATCTGACCCATTTCAGATTAGGGTTTTCTAACTCTAATCCCTTGTTACCCTAAGCCACTATCGCCACCAATGAACCCAATTGCAACAGTGAACGCCGACGACTAAACCACAGCCATGCATTGCCGAATCTCCAAGCCACTGAGTCACTGAATACATCATCACACATGTCAGAAGCCACCATATCAATAAAACAATATCATTTACTCAAAAATCCACTGAACATATTTTTAATCAAATAAAATCTCGAAAATTCGGTATAATGCTCTACCCACTACTCGACATCGGTGGAAAATCCACTACACACCAACCATAAAAAGAAAGGTCTCGAACGAAATAGAGGGGGGCAATTCACAGAAGAAAAACTCATCAACAGAGGGGGGCTCTCGGTTATGAAAAAACAGTAGCAACGAGGAGGAGTTCTCGGTTTTTTGAATTGGGGGCAAACAAACTGTAAACGGGGGAAAATGTTTCATTCTTCCATTCGAAAGCAATAAAAGCATTTTGAGGTATTCCTAGTTTTGTTTTCAATTTTCAGTATATGTTGCTTTATTTGTTTTTTTTATTTCGAACCCAAACCAGCAGTAGAACAATCTGTTCTTTATTCCAGTAATTAACCCAAAGAAATCAATGCATGTTCGATCACAAGCAAAATAAGTAGGTCGATATAAAAATAATAATAAAATAAAGAGGATTTAGGGTTGATTTACCTAAGTTGTTCGAATTCCAGCGGAGTCTTAGTGACTCCATGTTATCGCCGTTCGGGTCCCGTCGCTAGAGAGGAAAAAAGCCTGATGTTAGTCTTTGTAAATGAAATTCTTTGAATTAAAATTAGTAAGAGAGAGAAAGAGAGAGAGAGAGCTTACCTTGGCCGAGCGTCGGGGCTGTTATCGGGGTGGTTCTCCGTATTTAGGTGTCATAGGTTGCCGAGGGTAAGTATTCTTCTCCTCTGGGGTTTCGAACCTGAATTTTGGGTATTTTTAAGGGGAATCGATCGAGGAGGCTTAGGTTCATTCGGGGTGGTCGTTTGGTTTTCCTCGACTGAAAGCTCGGATAGTGTGTGGTCATTTGAAAGAAGGAAGCTGTGGTGGCCATTTGAGAAATTGAGGGAAGAGTCGAAGAAGAAGGGAGAGAGAGAAGTTGAGACAGTGCGGCTAACAGGAGACCAAGTGGGGTTAGGGTAAATTAAATATTTAATAACTAAGCCAATGAGTGGATCTTTTCTTTTATTATCTTTAATTATCTTCATACTTTATTCTAATATACGTGTCATCAAATGTAATTTCTGTATAAATATATTTTAGTTATTGATTAATTTTATACATTTAATAATCAAATCTAATACCAATCTATTAGAATTTCTGTACGAATATATGTTGATATATTTTTTTTTGGATAATTGTGTTGATATATTTTATTCTTGCATTAGTTGTAAATTTAAACCAACAGACATTAATTGACAAACAAGACTAATATATTAGGGTTAAAATTGAAAGGCGAAGAAAGAGTGATGATGGGTGTGTGGTATTCACGGGACATGAGCAGCTGTGAGGTCTGTGACTAGAGATGGGTATACGGGCTACCCGCCTGTTTAGTTCGTGGGTTTTGACAGTGCGGGCTTAAACGGAGCGGTTTAAAAAGTCCGTAATTATAAACGGTTTTGAATTTTAAGGCCCGCGACCCGTCTATTTAACCCGCGGCCCGTTAAATAAAAAAATTAAATGCTTTAAATGCAATAAAAAATAATGTTTTAACTTGCTATACCTTTAAAAATGATACAGTAACTTAAAAAGGAATGTAGCACCGTCAAAATAATAAATAATATTTAAATTTTATTTTAAATAGCCTGAAATGATTATAAAATAATATTTTTTTTAATTTTTTAATCATTAATATATATAACGATATAATTACTTAAACTCAAATTAAAAAAACAATATTTACTTATATCACCAAATTGAAAAACAA